GCGCGCTCTGGAACAGCCGCGGCGCCCGATGCGCCCTGCAGAACCGCGGGACCTCAGAGATTTCCGAGATGTGCTGGTCCAGGGCTGGACCTAAACGGTGTTTGGGCGATTTCGTGGGCCGTTTTCGTTTCGATGTCGTTTTGCGGTAAAGGCGGATTGAGGACAAAACGATGGAAAACGAAAGCAAAACGAAAACGAAAAACACCGTTTGGGTTCAGCCCTGTGTTGGTCCGATGCTGTCGGGGTCTTGGCTTCGTCTCGCCCCGCCGTGACGACCTTCTCGCATCGCCCCAATACGTGGACAGGCGGCCCCAGGGGAGTCTCGAGGGCGAGGGGGGGTGGTCACGGGAGGGGTCGGCTTGGCCGCGCTCGAGGGGCGTTTGGCGTTGCCAGGCTTGGGGTCGCTGCAGCTTCGGGGCCGCGCGGCTTCTCAGGGAGCCTTGCTTCCCCCGAAGCGCTGGGCGACTTGCCCCGATTCTCTGAGCGTAGTGTGTTGTTGATGAAGGGCTCCTGCAAGAGGGGGTACACCCCAGGACCATCCAGGACCAAGCATAATCATCATCCTCACTCTTCCCACTTTGCATCATGTGTCCTCCTCCTCCTCCTCCTCCTCCTCCTCCTCCTCCTCCTCCTCCTCCTACTCCTATCCTTATTCCTTATTAGAATATACTCCTACTCCCCCCTCAGGCCGGCCATTAGGGGCCGCATCCGGGTGGTCCCATCCTAACCTGTAAAAAACAATACAAAATCAACATTTTCTTATTTTTTCCTCTCGACATGGACGTCCTGTCGTCCACGGCGATAATCCATTGCAAAAAATACCACAAAGAGCACATGCGCGCGTTCATGTCAGAATCCTACCGAACACCGTGTGTTTGCAAGCATCTCAACATAAAAACATCAGAAACCCAATGTTTTTTCACAAAAATTGCACAAATTTCCCGCCCGGGCTCTCTTGTTGAAATCATAGGAAAACGATAGGTCATGCACCCAGGCCGCGAATCCTGTGCAAAAAATACCACAAAGAGCACACTCGCGCGTTCATGTCAGAATCCTACCGAACACCGTGTGTTTGCAAGCATTTCAACATAAAAACATCAAAAACCCAATGCTTTTTCACAAAAATGCTTTGGGGTGTCCTGTCAGACCGTCGGGCTTCCTCCGGCCACCTCTGGCTTCCTGCGGTGTACCGGGCCATTCTCGACTCGTCTGGCAATGCGTGCGCGGCATTCAACACGCGCTCGCCAGTTCCCGTCGGCAACCGCCATCGCGGCCGCATCAGCTGTACCAAACCGGCTGGCCGGTGTGACTTCGGCCCCCAGTTGTGCCAGCTTTGCTTCTTATGTTGTGGGAGGGCGGGTGGGACTGGGCATGCCATGCTTGACTCGCTCGAGCTGGCTAGCTTGACTCCTACTCCCACTCCTACTCCTACTCCTGCTCCTACTCCTATCCTTATTCCTTATTCCTTATTATCCCAGTGCGACCCTACCTAGGAGTTGGAGCATTTAGGAAAGCAGCATCTACATCTACACCGACAGCTACATTTACATTTACACCTGCATCTACATCTACATCAACAGCAACAGCGACACTCACATCTACATCTACACCTACATCTACAGCTACACCAACATCCACATCTACACATGCACCTACCTTTACATATATATGTTGCATTGCCTTTGTTGCTGCTCGTGTCTTTGGTTGTGCCTTTGATGTTGCTTTTGCTATGATATGCTATGATATGCTGCGCTATGCTATGATATGATATGATGTGCTGTGTTATGATATGTTATGCTGCGCTGTGCTATGCTAAGCGATGCTAGGTTATCATATGTTATGTTATGCTATGATATGCTATGTTATGTCATGCTGCGCTATGCTACGCTACGCTATGCTGAGCTATGCTATGCTATGCTGTGCTTGGTTATGCTATGTTTTGCGATGGTGTGGTAATGTTGCGCTGCGCTATGCTGCGCTAACTAAGGTAAGCTAAACTATGCGAAGGTAAGCCAAGCTAAGCTTAGCCAAGCCAAGCTAAGCTAAGCTAAGCAAAGATGAGATAAGCTAAGCTAAGCTAAGATGAGATACCCTAAGCTCAGGTAAGCTAAGCTCAGCTAAGCTAAGTTAAGCTAAGCGCTAGGCTAAGCTAAGCTAAGCAAAGCTAAGATGAGATACGCTAAGCTCAGGTAAGCTAAGCTCAGCTAAGCTAAGCTAAGCTAAGCGCTAGACTAAGCTAAGCTAAGCAAAGCTAAGATGAGATCCGCTAAGCTAAGGTAAGCTAAGCTCAGCTAAGCTAAGCTAAGCTAAGCTAAGCTAGGGGAACCCAGGGGGCGCAACTGGGGGAACTGTGGGGCGGGGACTGGGGGAACCGCCCGGGGCGTTTTACACTGCCCGCCCCTTTAAGCAAACAAAGTAAGAACCCTCTAGGCAGAGCCTAAATAGGGAATTAGAATATACTCTTACTCCCCCCTCTGGCCGGCCGATAGGGGTTCCATCCGGGCCCTCCCATCCTACTTTTGAAAAATGAATTCAAAATCATCGTTGTTTCTCTCAACACGGCTTTTCTTGTCGTCGACGATGCGAAACACGTAGCAGGAATAGGACGCGGCGCACATCGCGCGCGGCCGTCAATCCGGGCCCTCCCATCCGAACTATAAAAAATTATCCCAGTGCGACCCTACCTAGGAATTGGAGCATTTAAGAAAGCAACATCTACATCTAAACCGACAGCTACAGTTGCTGTGCTGTTGCTGCTGTTGCTTTGCCTTTGATTTCCCTTTGCTATACTATGCTATGATATGTTATGTTATGCAGCGCTATGACATGCTATGCCATGCGTTGCTATGCTACGCTATGCTGCGCTGTGCTATGCTATGCTATGCTAGGGTACGCTCGGCGGCGCTGTGTAATGCTAGGCTATGCTATCATATGATATGTTGCGCTATGTTATGCTATCCTATGATATGCTGCTCTATGGTATGCTATGCTATGCTATCAGGGGCTATACTCTGCTAGGCTATGATATGTTATGATATGCTGCGCAATGCTATGATATGCTATGACATGATGTGCTATGCTGGGCTATGCTATGCTACGCTATGCCATGCTATGCTGTGCTGTGCTATGCTATGCTATGTTGCGCTGTGCTATGCTAAGCAATGTTATGATATGCCATGCTATACTATGCTGCGCTATGCTATGCTATGCTATGCCGAGCCATGCTATGCTATGCTTGGCTATGCTATGCTATGATGTGCTAATGCTGCGCTACGCTATGCTGCGCTAAGCTAAGGTAAGCTAAGCTATGCTAAGCTAAGCTAAGCTAAGCTAGGCTAGGTTAAGCTAAGCTAATCTAAGCCAAGCCAAGCTCAGCTAAGCTAAGCTACGATGAGATAAGCTAAGCTAAGCTAGGCTAGGCAAAGCTAAGCTTAGCTAAGGTAAGCTCAGCTAAGCTAGGGGAACCCCGGGGGCGCGACTGGGGGAACCGCGGGGCGGGGACTGGGGGAACCGCCCGGGGCGCTTTGCACTGCCCGGCCCCTTTAAGCTAAGAGAGTAAGAACCCTCTAGGCAGAGCCTAGGTAGGGAAAAATCAAGAATACAAAGTCGTCGTTGTTTCTCTCAACAGGGCCTTTCTTGTTGTCGACGGTACGAAATGCGTAGCAGGAATGGGACGCGGCGCACATCGCGCGCGGACGTCTGGGGCAACCCCAAGCGGGAGAGGCCATCCGACCTGTCAAAATACCACACAAAGTCCACATGTTTCTTATCAGTGGGGATTGTCTTGTCGTCGGCTTTGCGAAATGCGTGGCAGGAAGGGGACGCGGTGCACATCGCGCGCGACAGGGCGAAACGTCGCTCTCGCTTCGGCGCCGCGCGCATGTTTTCTGAAAGTTGCGCTCCCGCTAGGGCGCGGCGCACATTTTTCGCTCGCCAAGTCGTCGAGCGCCTAGGGCCCCCTGGGGCCTCCCAGGGTCTCCTGGGACTTCCCGGGGCTTCCCCAGGGCCTCGTGGATCCTCCTGGAGCCTCTTGAGGCATCCTGAGGCATCCTGGGGCTTCCTGGGATTCCTCGGGGGGTTCCTGACACTTCCTAGGGCTTCCTGAAGCCTTCTGGAATTACCTGGGGCTTCCTGGGCCCTCCTGAAGCCTCCTGGGGCTTCCTCGGGGTCGCTGGGGCTTCTCCTGAGGCTTCCTGGGGCCTCCTGAGGCTTCCTGGGGCCTCTTCGGCTCGTGCTGAAATGCCAGCGCAGTCTTTGAAACGCGCCAGGGATCTCTTATCGGTAACCGCCATCGCAGCTGCATCAGCTGTGGCAAACCACCTTGCCGATCTGATTTCGATCCCCAGGTGCGCCACACTGCTTCTTGTGTTGTGGTAGGGCGGGTGGGAATGGGCATGCCATGCTTGACTCGCTCGAGCTGGCTAGCTTGACTCCTCCTTCTACGTACTCCTACTCATCCTCCGTTGCAACCACGAGGAGGAAGACGGAGACGAAGGGGAGAGACGGACAAGGAGTAGACGGACGTTCGACGCGAGCACCCGAACGCACGGAAGGTGCATGTGTGGGGAGTGTCTTTCCTAGTGTCACCTCTCCTTTTCTCATCTCGTCTTCCACAACATCCTCCCCTCCATTCATTATTATCCCTCCCCCCGTCTCGCTACTATACCTACTCCAGCAAGTCGCTCTTCCCCTATGACTCCTCACCGCTCAATTTCTTTCCTCCACCACACCCTCCCTCTTCCTCATCGTCCGCATCCTCATCATCATCATCATCAGCAGCATCATCAGCAGCAGCAGCAGCATTATCAGCATCATCATCATCGTCATCAACAGCATTATCCTCATCCTCATCAGCATCATCATCACCACCACCATCATCACCTGCATCATAGACATCATCAGCAGCAGCAGCATCAACATCATCATATCATCAGCAGCAGCAGCATCAGCATCATCATCATCAGCAGCAGCATCATCATCCACCTCCCCCAATGGCTTTGCAGGCATGGGCAACATTCCTATGACGCTGGAGCTCAGCCCAGAGCACCATATCGTCACCACGCTGCACACCATTAGGCCGATTTGGTGAGGGGGAGCAGGAAGAACAGAAGGAACGGGAGGATCAGCAGAAGCATGAGGAAGGAGGAGGAGTGCGATGGGGGGGGGAAAGAGTGTGGAAGATGCGTACGGCGCACCACCTGTGTGGCCAAACGTTGGCCACGAAGGCTGGTTAAGAAATTCGAGCATTATGTGCTCCCCCATCCGTTCAGGACCATTTGGGGAAATATTTAGGGGGAGGAAGGAGGGGAGGAGAAAGAGAGAGAGAGAGGAGAGAGAGAGAGTGTGAGAGAGAGATAGAGACACAGAGAAGGGGGGGGAGAGAGAGAGAGAGGGAGAGAGAGAGAGAGAGGAAGAGAGAGAGAGAGGAGGGAGGAGATGGTTGAGATGTGCCACGGGCTCGTGCGCCAGGTGTGCCGCATGCTCCAGCCGCTTCCGGATCGCCACGGTCGGGGCACGCGCAGAGTGTACCAGGTGCGCCCGCGCGCATCGGGCAGCATGTCGGCCTCCACCACCCTTGTCGAAAAAAACAGCGCACAGTCGCGACGGAGTGGCCATCGTGATCTCTGGCGGGGGACTGCACACGGCAGGCAATGTGCCAGCGCTCCCGCCGCCCCTGTCAAAAGCCAACGCATCGTGGTCGCGGGGCGCCCTCGCATGATCCAGATTGAGCCGCGAAGTGCAATTTGTATTGTTTTTGTTGACAGGGCTGGTGGCCCTGCGCACAGCAGGCCGTGTGCTGACACTCCAGCCGCCCAAAATTTCGTTCAACCAAAAAGTGATCGCGCGGCCCCCGAACATGACCCAAGAGTTTGCCGCAAAGTGCACTTTCCATCGCTGTTTGACAGGGATGGTGGTAGGGGATGGCTCGCACAAAGCAGGTGATATACCCGCATCCCCGCCGTCCTTGTCAAGAACCAATGCAGAGTGATCGCGGGGCGCCCGCGCATGCTCAAGATTCGGAAGCAAAGTGTAGGCTCCATTCTTTTTTGACAGCGATGGTGGGGGGGGGGCTCATGGGTCCGGGTTGTCTGCTGGTTGGGTGGGCGAGGAGGGGTTCTGAACAGGAGCAATGATCAAGCATCCCCCCGAAGGATGGCCGTCTCGCTCACTCCTCCCCGCCCTCCCACCACGTAAGTAGCACTCGAGTTTCAGCATGGGCAGGGGCCGCCATCGACCATGGTCGGGAATCTGTGCAGACGCCAGCCAGGTGCGCGAGGTGCGCCGCGCGTGCCAGTGCACCCCATCATCCCTGTCAAAGAACACTGCAAAGTGATCGCGGGGCTCCCGCGCATCATCGCTGCAGGAAAGTATATGTAGCACCCAACTGTTGGGGCGGGCGCGGGGGTCGCGGGTGGGTCGCGGGTGGCTCGCAGGCGGGTCGCAGGTGGGTCGCGGGCCGGGTCGTGGGTGGGACGACGACAACGACAGCAACAACAAACAACAACACACAATCAGAACCTTAACCGCATCAACAACAACAAGAACAATAACAATAATTACAACAACAATAGCAACAGAAGCAACAGTAACAGTAGTAGCAACAACAACAAGCACAACCACAACAACAACGACAACAGCAGCAACAACAACAGCACCAACAGCAATTGCAACAGCAGCAGCAGCAACAACAACAGCAGCCACAACTACAGCATCATTCATGTTAAGACTGTTCGCTCTTATCCGTTCGCGGGACATTCAACACGTATGTCCCAAACCCTCGATACCCGCCCTCTTCGTCTGAGATCGTGCCCCCATCATGGGGATACCTTTCTGACCTGCAACTTGCATGTCGTGCAGCCCCGAAGGCAGGGGAAGAGAGGACGGATGGAGGGCAAGGGGCAAGGGGCAGGCGGGATGCTGAAGCGTGCGTCCTTCATGAATCGCGAGGAAGTCTCGAGCGATAGCGCGATTCCAAAATAAATCGTGAGGAGATCCACAGCGAGAGCGTGATTCCTGAGTGTCGAGGGCGAGGCGTCTGAAAAAATTGCGAGGGGTCCCACGCGAGAGCACGATTCCTGTGTAAATCGTGAGGAACTCCCGCGCGAGAGCGCGATGTGGGAATACATTCTGAGGAAGTATCAGGCGGGAGCCGTTGTTGTTGTAGCGCAGGGCCCAACGACGCAGTTTGCTGACCCTTCGCTTTCCTTTTAAAAAGAACAAGGTGCGAGCCCCGAGAAAAGCATTTGAGTTGAAAAATACCATGGTTACCGGAGGGGTGATCAACAATGATTATCTTTGAGAAATGAAAGTTCAACCACCACAACCACAACAACAGCAGCAACAACAACAACAGCAGCAGCAGCGGCATGAACAATAACAACAAACAGCAGCACAACAACAATCCGCACCGCGGAACCCTAGTTCAGCCACGCATCCAGGGACAGTGAATGACCGTTCGCCCCCGTCTGATTTAATCTTGCTTTTTGACCAGGATGTTGGGCCTGCGCGCAGCAGGCAACATGCCGGCATCGCCTTCGTCCCTGTCAAAAAAATGATCGCTTGGTGCCCGCGCATAGTCTAGATTTTGCCGCAACGCCCACTGCATATTATGTTTGACAGGGGTGGTTGGGGAGGTGTTGACGCTGGACACAGCAGGCAAGATTCCGCCCCCCCGTCCTTGTCAAAGACAATTTCAAAATGATCGCGGGGCGCCCGCGCATCATCCACAGTTTTGTGCATAATGCACTTCGCATTGCATTGTGCAAGGGAGAATGGAAGGTGTCGGCCGTGCACACAGCAGGCGATATGCTGCCCCCCGCCGTGCCGTCCGTGCCAAAAACCAATGCACAGAGATCGCGGTGCGTCCGCGCATGATCCAGGAATTGGTTCAAAGTGCATGTATTGTTTCTTCCAGGAAGGGGGGGGGATCATGGTCCCTGGTTTGTCGCCGATCGCGTGGGGAGGGGTGTATGTACATCAGTAAGGAGCAATTATCAAGCTACCCCATGCCGCAAGCCATGTCGTTCACTCCCACCCGCCCTCCCAACAACACGAGCAGCACCTGAGTCTCAGCACAGACAGGGGCCACCATCGACAACCATCCGGAGCCAACGCAGACGCCAGCCAGGTGCGCGATGCCCACGAGGCGCGCCGAGCGTGCCAGGTGCGCCACGCGCACCAGGTGCGCCACATTGGACAATAGGTCGACCGCCCCAGCATCCTTGTCAGAAACCATGCAAAATGACGGCGATGTTGCGAGTATTGTTTACTGCGTCTGGATATGCACCCGCAGTCACTTTACACTTGTTGTTTGACAAGGATAACAGTAATGCTCAAAGCTGGCAGTATGCCGCCCCACCCGCCGTCCCTGGCAAAGTGAACTTTACATGTTGGTTGAAACGGATGGTGGGCGTGCAAACAGCAGGCAATATGCCAGCCCCCGCGGCGCCCCTGTCAAAAACCATGCAAAATGATGGTGGCGCGTCCGCGCATGATCCAGACTTTGGTGCAAAGTGCATTTTTATTGTCTATATGTGAGACATGGCTGGGGGGTGATGGCAGCACACACAACAGACAATATGCCAGCCCCCGCCGTCCAGGCCAAAAACCAATGCAAAGTGATCGCGAGGCGCCCGCGAATGGTCCAGATTTTGGTGCAAAGTGCACTTCGCAATGCTTTGTGTACGGGAGGGTGGAGGGCTATTGGCATTGTACGCAGCAGGCAGAATGCCAGCCCCTCCCCCGCCGCCCCCGTCAAAAACCTTGCAAAGTGATCGCGCGGCGTACGCGCATGATCCAGATGTTGGTGCAAAGTGCAGCTTGTAATTCCTAACCCTCCTGTGTTGGGTTCTCGTTTTGAACAGAGCACAGCGGTCTCCTCCTCCTCATCCCTTCTGCGCTGCTCCCTGGGTGGCTGTAAATCGCGCAACTACAGCCATGTTCGTGGGCTCCTGGGAGGTCCAGAAGAGTCGAGGGCCACGCGCACCCATTTGTGACTTCCCTGTTCCCTGGGTGGCTGCGAGCTGCGCAACTGTCGCCACGTTCGTGGGCTCCTGGGAGGTCCAGCGGAGTCAGGGGCCACGCGCACCTATTGGAGACCTCGCTCCGCCCTGGGCGCTACGAACTGCGCCACGTCGCCACTTTCGTGGGTTCCTGGGAGGTCCAGCGGGGTCAGGGGCCACGCAGATCCACTTAGGATATCGCTACTCCCTGGATGCCTGCGAACTGCGCAACCGTGGCGTGGGCTCCTGGGGGGTCCAGCGGAGTCGGGGGCCACGCGCACACATTAGGGACTTCGCTGCCCCATGGGAGGCTGCGAACTGCGCAACCGTCGCCAGTTTCGTGGGTTCCTGGGAGGTCCAGCGGAGTCCGGGGCCACGCGCACCTGTTGGAGACCTCGCTGCGCCCTGGGCGGCCGTGAATTGCGCGATGGACACAAGTTTCGTGGGCTCTTGGGAGGTCCAGCGGGGTCGGGGGCACGCAGATCCATTTAGGACCTCGCTGCGCCTTAGGTTGTTGCGAATTGCGCAACCGTCACAACTTTCGTGGGCTCATGGGAGGTCCAGCGGAGACGGTGGTACGTAGACCCATAGGGGACCTCGTTGTTCCTTGGGTGGTTGCGAACTGCACAATTGTCGCAACGTTGGTGGGCCCCTGGGAGGTCCAGCGGAGTCGGGGGCCACGCGCACCCAGACGAAACCTCGCTGCTCAACGAACTGCGCAAGTGTCACAGCTGTTTTCGTTGTCCGTAGCCTCTGGCTCAAGGCCGTCTGGGCTCGAGCACGCCCCTGGCCAGGTGCGGTGCTCCGGCCCTGGCGTGATGGAGACCGCGGCGGCGCGGCGGCGGCGGCAGGCCCGTGCCGCTGCCGGTCGCCGCTTGGCTACCGCCGCCGCCCCGGTCGTCGCGGGCCCGCCAGGGCTATCTGGCGCCGCTGGCTCGGCTGGCGCTGCTGGCGCGGAAGGCGCCGCCGCTCTCGGCGGCGCGCCTGCTGCTGCGAGCGCTTCCGGCGCTGCTGGCGCCGCCGTCTCGACCTTCGCGGCCGACGCCCCCTGGGCGGTCGGCGCGGGCTGGGCCGCCCGCCCTTTCGCCCCCGCGGACGCCCCGGGCGCTGCCGACGCCACCGACCACGTCAGCGCTGCCCGAGTGCGCCGTCCTGCCAGCGCCGCCGGCGCGGCCAGCGCCCCCCGGCCGCCGCCGCCAGCGCCGCCGACGCCCCGCGGGCGGTCGGCGTGGCCAGCGCGGCTTGGCCGCCCGCCTCGGCCGGCAGCGCGGGCACCGCCGACGCCTTCGGGAGCGTCGGCGCGGCCCGCTCCCCTGTGGGCCCCTGCGCCCTGCGTCGCTGGCGCCGCTGACGCCGCCGACGCCGCCGGCGCTGGCGCCGTCGGCGCCGCCGGCGCTCCAGGCGCGGCCGCCGCCGCCACTGCGGGCGCTTGCGCCGCGGCCGCGGCTGCCGCTGCCCGCGCGGGCCTCTGGCTGGCCGCGGGCAGGCCGGCGCTGGCCGCCGAGGTCGCGGACGCCGAATTCGCGGCGCACGCCGACGCGCACGCGGTGGAGGAGGATGAGGTCGACATGGCGAAGGACGCGGGGACGGCCGTCGCAGCTGGCGGGGAGGACGACGCGCGCGACGTTGCTCCGGCGACGCCTGCATCCTCGACACCGCCGCCGAGAGCATCGACGCCAGCTTCCGCGGAACCCCGGCAGCACAATCATGACCAGCCTGGGCACCCAGCTGATGCGACAGCGGAGGGCATCGAGGAGGTGAAGGAGGCGCAGGAGGCGGTGCACGAGGAGGGGCAGTTCGTCGACACGGAGGCTGAGGAGGCGGAAGTAGAGGCGAAGGGAAACAGAGCCCAAGTCTTCGCCATGGACTCTGACAAAAAGGAGGACGAGGAGGAGGTGGAGGAGGCCCATCTGCCAGGGCCTGGTCGAGGTTGCCTCGAGGCAGCCCGGGGGCTCGCGCGACGTCGAGGAAGGCAGCGGCGTCGGGAACCAGCGGGCCACCCCTGGGCCTCGCACGGGCTCAGGGGAGACCTCTACCTCACGCTTGCTCGCCGCATTCAGTGGCTCCCCTGGACCTGGCAGCGATGGCGGCGACAGAAACCAGCGGGCCCCCCCTGAGCCTCACCAGGGCCCTGATGGAACTTCCAGATCCCCCGTCCTTGTCGCATTCCGCGGCACCCCTGAACCTGGCAGCAATGGCGGCGCCAGAGATCAGCGGGCCGAACCTTGTAGCGATGGCGGAGACAGAAAACAGCGCCCCCCCCCCCCGGAGCCTCGCCAGGGCCCAGAGGGAACATCTATTTCACCCGTTCTCGCCGCATTCCGCGGCACTCCTGAACCTGGCAGAAACGGCGGTGTCAGAGCCCAGCGGGCCGAACCGGGTAGCTTTACACCCGTTATCGTGGCGTTCCGTTGCGTTCTCAGTTGTGACTCGTCGGAGGCCAGTGTCTGTTCACCTAGAAGCGCGCTCAGAAACTAGCGGGCCGAACCTGGTAGAGATGGCGGAGTCAGAAACCAGCGGGCCCTCCCGAGCCTCACCAGGGCTCAGGGGGAACCCCATCTCACCCGTGTTTGCCGCTGTCAGCGGCGCTCCTGGACAGAGCAACGACGGCGGTGCCAGGAACCAGAATGCCCCCCCCGGCCCCTCACAGGCCCACTTCGCGCGGCCACGAAGACTTGGACATCAGCTCATCAAGTGGGAGGGAGGAAGCCGGGAACACCGAGGAGGAGCACACCTGGGAGTAGGCGGCGTGCTTCCAGCGAGCGCGCTGGGTCTCGGAGGGTCGCCGTGAGAGCGATCGCGGGCGTCGCGTTGTCCTTTGCTGGTCACTTCGCCCTGCGCAACCACGTGACCACAAGCAGCAATCAGTAAATTCCCGCCAAGGCGCCAGCCCGCTGCCCGCAAAGGCGCGCGACCCAAGATCGTCTGGGCAGGCAGGAGGAGCAGGAGGAGGGTTCCGACGACGGGTTGCCTATGGATCCCAGGAGAGTCCGTCGCCAGGCGCTCAGAGTTGGAGATCCTACCCGAAACGGGTGGAAGGAGAGTTGTATCAGTTTCGAATGGGGCTCCTTTGGTATTAGTTTGGGGCTCCTATGAAGTTCCTTTGGCGACGCTGATCGGTATCATTGCCTGCTAGATACGCCCTTAGATTGATTATGTTGCTTGATTGTGTGAAGCCCGCTTCTTGGATACAATGAACGTGGACGCTGAATGTGAATGTTTTGATATGGTATACTTTGTCACATCCCTGTATGCGTATATATGGATTGCCAATGTTTTCTAACACATGAACGTGTTAGTTCCAATGCGTGTGTGTACTTGTGTACGACTTATGTCATTATGTTAAACGCACACATCGTGTATACATGCCCTCGCATGCTATACTGTAGTAGTTGTCCGAGTTTTCATAAGTGCAAGAAGAACACACTCGGCATAGCAAACGTGATGTGTTTTCTCTGGTACCACTATGTGATGCAAGTATTGGCCAACAGCTTGCACGTATGAGTACGTCAAACACTATTACGCTATGGCAAATTAGATTGAGTTGGACAACGATGTGACCGTTCAAGTCGTAGTGTTTAGAATATAGGTACATTCGAAATCGTGAGTCACCGAAGCCCTGTAATTGTGGTAAGGTTGATGTTCACTGATATGTTCAATCGACTATAGCATTACTTATATATGCCGCCAGTGTGTTGTACTATCTTGGAATCATGTGCTAAAATATCGCGGGGTTGCACGGAATCCGTCTGCGATTTCACCCCGTGAACTCTACCATAGAATCCCTTGGACTAGTCAATGTCTGCATTGGGAAAGACTATGTTCACGCGAGCCCGCGTCTTTCAATTCCGTGGATTCCGCTTGGGTCCTTTTGGTTCTTGTTGAGATGTGTGGCACATTCTTCGCCCGTATATATAATTGCGTATATAAAGTATGTTTGTACATACATATACATGTGTGTATAAATCTATATATATATATACACATACATATCTATATATATATATATATATGTGTGTGTGTGCCGGCGGATGGGGATCTGGGCCGCCAGGCCGGTACCTGCGCCCCCAATGGCCGCTCCTGGGCTCCAGGAGCGCTCCTCTGTCGGGGCCAAGAGGCGGCCAAGACGTGCCCAGGGAGGCGCAAGTGGCCTCCAAACCAGTCCTAGAAGGCCCCAGGGCGCTCAAAGATCGCCCCTGGACGCTCAAGATGGTTCCCATTGAGCCCAAGAAGCCGCTACAACGCCCCAAGTTGCTTTCCAAGAGAGCCCCAAGCGGCCAAAATCATTGATGTTGCATGGGAAAACGTGCATTTTTAGCATCTACGTCTTTTCGGTCTTCACGGCGTGCACGAGGGTACAAGAGGCCCCCACGACGGCCCCAAGACGGCCCAAGAGGCTCCCAACACGGCCCAAGAGGAGCCCAAGACAGCCCCAGAGGTGGCCAAGGCGTGCTCAAGAGGCGGCCAAGACGTGTCCACGGAGCCCCAAGAGGCTCCCAAATCGGTCCAAGACGGCCCCAGGGCTCTCAAAGATCGCCCGTGGACACCCAAGATGGCTCCCATAGAGCCCAAGAGGCCGCTACGACGCCCCAAGAAGCTTTCCAAGGGAGCCCCAAGCGGCCGAAATCATTGATTTTGCATTGGAAAGCGTACATTTTTAGCATATACGACTTTTCGGTTTTCACGGCGTGCACGACGGTACAAGAGGCTCCAAAGACGGCCCCAAGAGGCTACCAACACGGCCCAAGACAGCCCGAGGAGCGGCCAAGGCGTGGCCAGAGGGCCCCATGAGGCTCCCAAAACGTTCCATGGCGGCCCCGGAGCGTTCAAAGCTAGCCCTTGGACGCCCAAGACGGTTGTCACAGTGCCCAAGAGACCGCGAAGACGCCCCAAGAGGCTCCCAAGAGGCTTTCCAAGAGGGTCCCAAGAGGCCAAAACCATTGATTCTGCATAGGAAAAACGTATACTCTTAGCATTTACGACTTGTTGGCCTTCACAGCGGTGACGACGGTACAAGAGGCCCCCAAGAGAGTCCCAAAACGGCCCAAGAGGCCCCAAAGACGTCCCGAGAGGGGGCCAAGACACCCCAAGAGGTCCCCAATACGACCTAGGAGAGCTCCAAGACGGCCCCAGGACGAGTTTCGACGAAGTTTGATTCGATTTGTCCTTGACTTCAGCTAGAACCAAAGCGCGCGCGAAGAGCGCGCGATGGTTCTAGTATATGTGTGTATGTGTGTGTTTGGATTGGTTCGCCTGCTGATGCTATCGCCAGGAGGGCGCCTCCGAACGTACTTACTTGCTTCATTGTCGGTGCTAGCTATATCGCCAGAGGAGATACTGCCTGATTACTAGGGTTACCCCGTCGACAACGAGGATGATTCGGATTTTAAGGAATATGGGGAAGAGGTGGCAATAAAAAGGAAAATGGGAAGGAAGAGGAGGAGGAGTTTGAAGACAAGCAGGAAGAAATGAGAGGGAGACGGAAGACCTGATCGGCTGTCCACGAAGGAAGGTTCAAGCTTTTATTGAGGGAAACGGAAAAGAGGGAGAAGGGAGAAGGAGGAGGAGAATCAGGGGGAGGACCGTGCATGTATGATGAGCAGCGGCAAGAGGAGAAGGAGGGGCAGGGTCGCTAGAGCAGTCCTCCTTGCCGTCTTGATCCATGGCCCCCCGCCAGGGAGAGCAACGAGCCGGTTGCGCGGATCGCGGTGGAGCAGCTCTACGACAACGCAATGATCGCCGCAGGTGTTGCCACATTATTGGAGCAGGATGCGGATGAGGGGGACAAGGGAGGGGGGGAGGGGAAGGGAACCGAGAAAGAGGGGAGGGGGGAGGGCGAAATTGAGCAGGAGGGGGAGGGGAGGAAGTGGAGGGAGGTGCACCAAGAGAGGAAAGAGGAGGAGGTAAGACAAAAGGAAGGGAAGGGATCGGAGCAAGGAGTGAGGAGAGGGAATGAGGGGGAGGAGCAGGAAGAGGGAGAGGCGACGAGAGGAAGCGACGAAGGTGGAGGATGAGGAGAAGCAGCAGCCAGGAAAGGGTGGGGATTAGGACGGGGAGCAGATGGGACGGGTGGTTGTGGAAGCGTAAGGTGAAGGAAGCAGTGACGAAAGAAGGAGGAGGAGGCGGAAGACGAGGAGAAAAGCGAAAGAGGAAGGAGGGATAGAGGGAGAAGGAAGGTGGAGCGAGGAGGGAAGAGGGGGGACGATAAGGATGAGGAGGAGCAGGGAGGACGAAGAGGATGGGCCGAGAGAAAGTGGTGGGTGAGCAGCAGCAGCAGCAGCAGCGGGCAGGAGTTTGAAAAGAGGACGGTGAGTCCAATGATTGCCTTGTAGAGCTGGAGTGGGACTGCATTGTAGCAATGTAGTCTGAACTGGATGCGAGGCAAGGAGTTGTTGGTTGTTCTTGTCTTTCCAGGGTTTGTTCGGCTCCCATGGGCTGGCCGCCTCTTCTTGCGATGATGAACCCCTTTCTGACACTATGTCCCTCATCACGCTTTGTCTTGGTTGTCCCCATTTACCTCCGTGTTCCCGTGCTTTTCCTCCCCAGACGCCTTCCCTTCGCTCCGCCATCCCTCATGATCATGTCCTTCGTTTATCGTGACCCCGCTGTTTCCCTTACTTAACGTCTCCCTCCTCATCATACTTCACCTCGTCTTCCTGCTGATCATCATCATTCTCTCCCCCTTCTCTGTTTCCCTCCCCTCATCCTCCTGCCTGTTCCTCCTCTTCCTCCGCGGCCCTCCCCCTCCTCGCTCCCTCCTCTGTCCCCCTCGATTCCATCTCCACCCTCCTCGTCCGTACGTAGCCATTGTGGCTAACGTCTGCTTCCCCCCACTGCTTCTGGCCCGCGCGGGGCCGATGGCGGCGGCGGGCGCCCGACGCGGCCGCCTTCGGGCTCTGGGCGCAGCCCCGCGAGGCGGACAGCCTCGTCGCGGCCTCTGAGCTGGGCCTCGTCGAGGTGGCGCCAGCTCTCTGAGCTGGGCCTCGTCGAGGTCGCGGCCTCTGAGCTGGGCCTCTGAGCTGAGCTCAGAGGCCTCGTCGCGGCCTCTGAGCTGGGCCTCTGAGCTGGGCCTCTTCGAGATCGACTACAGAATCGATGTACCCAAAAATTCGCTGCTTCGTCGAATATACAAAGACGTGCAATGGTCTCAGCTCTACGAAAATCTTATGTTTTTGCAGATTCGACGAACCAAAACTTTGTTGGGGTAAATCGATCATGTAGTCGATCTCTTCCTCGATCCCTGGGGCGACGAGCTGTGGCGCCGGCTGCGGCTCATTTTGCCGGTGCTCGTTGCCGGCATCGCGGGCGTGCGCGTTGCCCTCGTTACGAGGGCCAGGAGGAATTTGGCCCCGCACGACGTCAGCATCTCCGCCGTCGGCACCGAGAGCACCTCGCCGAGGGAGCCGAATGGGCTCCCGCGGGCGAGGCGCGCCGCGGCCTTGCGGCAGCGACGACCTTCGTGGATGTCGCTGGCGCCCCCCCCCCCGCTTCGGAGCCCGACGTGAAGCACGCCGCCGCGGGCTCGTTGGGCTGCGCGCCGAGGACTTCGTTCTCGGAGCGAGGCACCGGGAGCCACGGCGCGCGTCTGCCGCACCTCCCACTGGTCTCCCCGCTGCACCTGCGGCGCGGTGGCCTTCAGCTCCTTGGATCGAAAGCAGAGGATCGGGGGAGCGCAAGACCCGGTTTGCCAGGACTCGGGTTCGCCATCGTTTTTTGACGACCGTGCCTCGGATTCTGACGAGGAGGGAGTTTCGTGGGAGGTCTGCAGCGGGAGGCCTCGTCAAGATGCAGGCTCGGCCCCGTCATTTTTTCGACGACCTCGTCGGGGATTTCCGAGTCCCCTGTACCCAGGTCTTGCGTCCCCCTGATGGGAGCCACGGCGCGTGTCTGCCGCACCTCCCACTTGGTCTCCCCGCTGCACCTGCGGCGCGGCGGTCGTCGGCTCCCTGGATCCAAAAGCAGAGACGCTGCATGCTGTGGAGACCCATGCCAAGCTTGCCTCGAGGGTGCCCTGGACTTCTTGGGTCTCGATGGTTTTGCGACGGAAAGCGTGACGCTCCCACGCCAAAAATCAACGGACGTCCTGGGGTCTCAGGGCTGGGCTTCTCGTGGAGGGTTTCTTGTGGACGGGCCTCCACTGTAAACAGAAAGTTTCGGCGGTCCGACAAATTACGTGTATGCATTTTGTTCCTCTGCTGAAGATCGGCACGTTCGTGGGGGGAGGAGCTGGCCGAGGTCGGGATCC